CGGAGGAATAACAATAATAATATTGACACAACTTTCTTCCAGATGGCTTGCAATGATTCAGCTCAGTTCTGTGAGCTAAATTAAACCGATTATACCGTTGATGAGACCGGCCTCAAATGGGCGAGACAACCATCCAATTTTTCAATCGCTTTGACCTGGTTAGCAAGCACAACTGTCTAACGTGAATAGTATCCAATCACTCATCTCAATCAGTCAGTAGTATATAGTCCGATACTTTTATTTCATTTAGATGTTGAGAAAACAGAATCATAATCTATTTCCAACTTGATATTCCAATATGTATTCGTGGAAAAATTCACATAGGGATATTTTATACTGGACACATTTTTCCATTCTAGCCTAAGAGGTTTTAGTAAGAAACTTATAACTACTCACTAAGTCTTAAGTAGCTAGAATATTTTAACTTAATTTTCCGAGTTAATATTTCGTCAGTTAACAATAGATAGCTTGAGGAGCACCAAATCTCCTGTTAACTTGGTCTACACAGTCTTCTGTACCACTTCTCATACTAACTTGACAGTATTATTAATATAAGGCTAAAACCTTGGCGCTGTGGTAGAGTACAACTCCATTATTGATAAAATCACTTGGCAGAAAACTGAAGTACTGAAAGAAGAGCGTGTTAGGCTGCACTACTAAATCAGGAAAGAGTCTATTGAGAACACCCTTTGAACAAATAGGTTGAATTCATTTTATTTGTCAGTGCTGAATGGCAACACCTCCAGCTTTTTATGCTGAATACGTTCAATTTAAATTCAACAGCGTTTCATACCTACAATTAGTCAATCGTGTAGAAATCTGAGACCTATACTAGTGGGATATATTCAAACTATGTTCGTCTGGATGTCCAACAAACAGCCAAAATGTTGGCATATGTCGCCCTAGATTTCACTATACCGTTGGAGATCTCATTAGCCACATTTAAACAACTACCTAGTTACGTGAACGTATCGACTACTTCCAGAGGTTCACTTGAATACAGACTACTCCTATAAATCTTGAAATAATACTATGCACTTAAACAGAGTAAAGCATGTACCATGAGAGGATTGTTTCAAACTGGTGCATTCATGTTTACCATTGTAGCAAAAAACATTCCGTATACTTATTCAAATCATCTAACTGTTAATTAAGATAAGGGCAAAATTAAATTCTAAGTACCACTAACTACCAATCAGCGAATGACCTCGAACGCATCAATCACCTGAAGGAGGCATTTTTGTGTATGGAATACATATATTTATGAAAAAAATTGAATAAAAACTGTATAAAATTGTTTCAGAGGATACTGTGCTCTCACATGTGATAAAAATATCTTTCAGTTTTAGGTTGGAGTATCAACAGAGCATAAATTCCATTATGGGTAAAGTTTGTTTTGATAAAGTTCCATAGTGTATAACATACAGTAATATTTACTGATCAACCCGTAAAACATAACTAATCTTTACAAACCAAACTATAGAAAGCTAATCTGATGCTCGTTAGTGACTTGCTACAGGTTGGAGTTTCCTGAGTTCTAGTGAGAAGTCGTGACCAGTCAGGTCCATCCAGTTGGGAGAAGGATGAAGTTCCCACTGATGACATTGGTTGGTGGTCGCGCTAAATCACGAATTGGTGGAAGTTATAATTCATGAACCAGCCATTGGATCGGGTCCCAGTGGCTGAATGGTATACGAGCCAGCTTGCCTTGTAACCGGAAAGTCCCGGGTTCGAATCCCAGTGGGTGCGTACTGCCAATGATTCCCAAACTAGGATGAAACAGCAGCTGTCCAGTACTCCCTGGTTTTCAATAGTTCTCTAACTGATATCAATCCGTGATCAACCCGTAAAATATTTACTGAGCAATAGATTGTGCTCGAAACGTCATCAGCAAACATTAGTGTATAACACTGAGAATTTATCAAAATAAACTTTACCCACAATCGAATTATACTCTACTACAGTGCACAAGTTCTATTTTATATCAACTGAGTAATTTAACCACATTCTATGCATGTTGTAATTATTTAGGTCTTCTAACCCTAATCTTTGCTGAACCTAACCCTAACGTGAAAATATCCCTACACTAACTGTAATCGAACTCGAACCAACTCTAATGTTGCCTTTATTAGGTTAACCTAACCCTAACTTGCCCTTAGTTAACTCAATCTTTCGCAAACCTAAACTAAAACTTGCAAGATATCCCATTTAGTAGCATAACACTTCAATGAGCATATTTTATTGATGATGACAACATTCTTTGCTAGGTTACACTAATTTACTCAATGGGTGTTTCAAGGTCATCGGTGAGGTCGCACTCCATTGGTAGTTAGTGGTGCTTAAAGTTTAACTTGGCCAAGAAGATAAGCATCAGGACACAACTATTCGATGTGGCTTATTGACCTAGGCACTCAACTTCTAACCAGCGAGTCTTCTTGAGTCAATCAGTTCGGATGAGGTTGTAGAAATCCAAACCCGGCCGATAACTGCTACCTTGTCGTGGTATGGTCGGGCTTGAATACCGTAATGACCCAACATACTAAACTGACTGGGACTCTGTCCCTTTGCAGGAAGGTTGTTTGGATAGCGATCAAACTAAAAGCACTTACCATGGGCTCCAGTATCATCCAATCGGATCAAATGGCGTATGAACCCATATGGGTCACCGCGAAAACCATGAGAATGCAGCTCGTGACGCTGCTCCGCTGCCTTGGGGATTAGACTCCAAGTCAAAGGCTCGGGGGGTCCCTTAATAAAACCACGTGCTTCGGTCTGGGCGCCCGGGAAATATCTCAGCCCAACGAACACAATGAATTGAATGAAGCAACAAACAATCAATGAAACTTATCGCGTGCTATTACACGTGTTGCAGTTTCCTTCTTTCTTCCCTTCCCGATGATAGTTAACGAATAGTGTTTGAACTTGTTAAGCATGACTGTTTTCCTTCCAGATGAAGTTCTTTATCCGTTCTCTACTCATATATATACATATTTTTCTCTTCTTTCTTTTGATCTATGTTGTTTTATTATTATTGTGTGGCGCATCCTTCTCGGTGCCATATTGTACCAAGTTTTTATGCGTTTAAATAAAATAAATAAATAGAAATCCAATGGCTCTTAACGACTTTAGGTTTCAGGTTATTAACAGCTTTTATAGCTGTGTCTACAGCTAACTGTATGTTGTGCCAGGCTACACCATTAGGAGTCCTTCTGTCGACCTCAGACACTCGTTCCCGTAAATAGGGACTCAGAGTCTCGATCTAGTTGGGGACGTAATTGCTTCACTGCCAACAATTTTTTGTGTCCGTCTAATCGTAAGCATAAACGTGCGCGAAACAGGGCGTGATCAGAGTCTACGCACGTGTTCCAGAAGGAGAGGCAGTCTTCTGCTGCCCCTCGCCAACGATACCCTATCGATATGTGGTCTATCTGAGCTCAACGTCGATTTGGTGATGGAGGTCGCCAGGTTACACAATGTCCCTCTTTGTGCCTAAATTTAGTGCTGACCAGGGACAGACGATTATCTGAACAGAACAGCAGACGATCACCGTCGTCGGTTCGTCGGCAGGGAACTTCATACATGCCAATTACATACTTCTCGGTCTGGAACAACTTCCCTAATTGGGCATTGAAGTCGCCTGCTAAAACAACTATATCTGAACGTTTTGCTTTATGCATCAAACTAGACAGTTTCATGTAGAAGTCATCCTTTAGTTCATCCGAACTGCAGTCTGTTGGGGCGTAAGCGGAGACTACGGAAAGACGACGACGGGTAACGCCGTCCATCCTTCTTCTAACGGACCCATTCAGACGGACCACACACACACGACTATCTACTGAGATCCAGTCATGAAAGGATTTTTCTGCCCTAACACTTAATGCTATCCTCTGGGAACCTAGCTGAGGGGTCTCCTGACACCCTTAAAGTGAATTCTGCAGATTTACCTTGTTGGCCGGGTCAGGTTAAGTGAACAGCCACACTCGGGTCTTGTATGCGTGTCTCCGAAACACAACATACATCCATGGCTCGAGATGCCAGAGTTCTTGCTAGTGATGCCTGTTGTCCGATTTGGCAGAGGGTTATGACGTTAAATGCCCCTATATGAAGTTAGCGACGTGGCTTCAAAAGGCTGTTGGGGGAGTGGCTCTGACCGTTGTTTGTGATCACAGAGTGAAGTGAACATGATTCACTAGCCTAAAGAATAGTGCCGATTGTAGTACGAAAGTAAGATGATGGTGATGTAGGTAGGAGAGAATGATGCCCAGGAAGGCTTCGTGTGCTTCTGGAAGTGTGTGGGCGGTTGTTACTTCCCGGCTGCCCACATCGTGGAAGTTGATTGGTTCTTAGGGTACATGGAACAGAAAGATAACTAGTGTTTCGTGACCGCAGACCCCAAGGGACAACTGCTTGAGGCCGGTCACACACGGCCTGTGTGAACTGGTTTTTTGGGTTTGGTTCCATATTTTCTTTATTGAATTTGAGATTTTCCGGTCGATTGATTGGACCGAAGTGATCGGTCTCAGGTTGACATGTCGGCTTCTTGTGGGTACTGGGTTCGAGCCTCGGTGGGAACATCATGACTCACTGAGAAATGCAGGTACATCCATCTGACGAGTCCCAAATAGGACGAAATATGCATCCTGGATTCCACTGCTAGTCACCATCCACCAATAAAATTGGTACCATATTAGTAAATTTACCGCCGGTTACGGAACACCGTAGGATGTACGATTGTTGGGGTCGACGTTTTCAACCCCCCTCTCTCCAGAGTGGAGAGACAACATAGCTGGCATGTTGGTCATCTAGGGGAAGCACCTTACTGCTGTCATCCCTGTTCTCCAGCAATACGACTTCGCTTACAAACTCCCAGCACTCTACCACTGTCCCACCGACGCCACCTTTATCATAACGTATTTAAAACTATATTAAACACCATCCAGAAAAAACAAATAAATTGAAGAATATCAAAATTATGCCGGTCATTTATACGTGAATAAATATATATATATATATATATATATATTAAAAATTATTTACAAAGACTTTTCATATCTAAAATCCAGGTAAACCGAATTGTTCAGGTTTAAAATCACATAAACTAGTCAATCTGGTAACACGTGAAATATCAGAAGATGTCAGGGAATCTATACAAACTCCAGGCGGTTCTCGTGGATCAGGTATCCAAACAACATGCATTCCTGCTGACAGAGCAGCTTCTACACCATTTGGAGAATCTTCGAATACAAGAACTTCATCTAAACACTGTGGAGGATTTTTAAATCTGCTCGCTGCAGCCAAAAAGATATCTGGCTTAGGTTTACCATTCTTAATCTAAAATAATGATAATAATAAGAATAAATTAGAGTTGGATGATACAATAATATTGTTAAATACAGGAAATATAAAATAGGCATCATATTAATTAGAAAAGTGACAAACTGAATAATATCGTCTAAAGATGAATATTTTAATGTGTAGTTGTGCTCCCTCAGCTGGATGGTTCATTTGTGAAGCTTTCATTGCCCTACTAGGCAACATCTTCAGTGCATACTTCAATTTGACTGACTGACTGACCGGTTTCAAGATAGGACTTTGCCCAGAAATATGCAGATGACGGGCAATGTTAGCTGTCTGTCTGTCTGTCTGTTTTCGACATAGAACTTTGCACAAATGTGCGGAAGTTCGAGTCGCCACATTCCGTGTAGCACGCGAAGCAAGAGAAGAAAGTACAAGAAAAGCATAATAGAAACAGTGAGCAGAGGTGTGAGACAAAGGAGTAATAAAGAAATACAAAACAGTTTCATTGAAGATCATAAGTCACAGGGAGTGGATGCATCTGCGCCACTGAGAACGATTTTGAGCCATGTCACCAATTGTTTCCAACCACAGATTTTTACCGTCCCGAAGACCCCAGCCTGGAAGTCTACACCTTTCTACGTGGCTTAGACCAACTGTTGTGGATTTCATTGACTGATGCCAAGTTTTTGTTTGACCGCCGCTAGCTTTTTTCCAGCCTGACCCTATATCCGCTAACATAGCTCGTCGAGGGAGGCAATGGCTTGGCATACGTAACACATGTCCTAACCATCTCAGTCTTTGTAGCTTCACGACTTCGTCGATTGATTTCCCCTGTTTACCTAAAACTCTACGCCTAACCTCCATGTTGCTCACCTTATTATGCCACTTTACACGGGTGATAGAACGCAGGCACCTATGATCAAAGACAGCTAGTCTTTTCATGTCTTCCACTCTCAGTGGCCAGGTCTCACAACCATAAAGGAGGACGAAGCGGACTGATGAGCAGTACACCCGCCCCTTGGTCGACAGTCGAACATCTCGTCTACGCCAGAGTCGGCGTAAACTAACAAATGCGAAACGAGCTCCTTGTATTCGTGCTTGTTAGCTGACATAGGGTCAGGCTGGAAAAGAGCTAGCGGCGGTCAAACCAAAACATAACCTCAACAGTCAATGAAATCCACAATAGATAGTTTAAACCAGTCATGCAGGAAGGTGTAGACTTCTTGACTGGTTGGGGTCTTCGAGACGGTAAAAACCAATGGTTGGAAACAATTGGTGATATGGCTCAAAATCGTTCTCAATGGCTAGCGCAGATGCATCCACTCCTTGTGACTTATAATTTCCAATGAAACTATATTGTTCTTCGTTATTACTATTCCTTTTTCTCACGCCTCTGTTTACTGTCTCTATTATGCATTTCTTGTACTTTCTTCTCTTGCTTTGTGTGCTACATGGAATGTGGCGACTCGTACTGCCGCACATCGTGAGAAGTTATATGCCGAAAACAGACAGACAGACAGAAATGTGCAGCAGTTCGAGTTACCACACCCCAGGTACCACACAAAGGTAGGCAAACGTGAGAGAAAAAGAGATTTAAAAGAACGACAATAAGCAGAAATATGAAGGAAAAAGATTAGTCACATAGAAAATATGAGCGTTTAATAAATATCAGATGACACAAAGAGTGAGTGCATCTGAACCACAGAGAACGATTTTAAACCATATCTCTGTTTCTCTCCAGCCATTGATTTTTAAAATCCTGACGACCTCAACCAAGAACCCTACACCTCCCTACGTGACTGGCTCAAACTAACTAACAAAGAATTCATAGAGTGATGCCAGGTTCCGGTTTGACCACCACTGGTTCTTTTGCAATCTGATCCTATGTCAGCTAACAGTGACCGCCAAGGAAGATGATGGTTAAGCATACGTAACACATGTTCTAGACATTTCAATCCATGTAGCTTTACAACTTCATTGATCGACTTTCCCTCCTTACTTAACAATATTCAACGTCTAACTTGGATATTACTCACCCTATTATACTGCTTAACATGGGAGATAAAACTCAGACACCTGTGATCAAAGACAGCTAAACTCTTCATATTCTCTCCACTTTCAATGGGCATTTCTTACAGCCATAAAGAAGTATGCAGAGAAGTGATGCGGTGCGCAGTGCACACATCACTTGATAGATAACCAACCGGATATTATGTCTACTAAGCGAGAGATGACGTAAGTTGGGCAATGCCACATGAGCCTTTAGTGTCTGCACTGAGATTTTGTCAACAATCAGTTCATTTAGGCCGATGTGATTTCGCAAATGAAATTAAAATGGTCAACACGCTCTACCACTTCACTCCTTATCCTTAAACTAGGAGACGGTACAGTTGAGTCCCATAGCGTCAGCTTACATTTGACAGGAACAAATTGCATGTCAAACATTCGAAGATTTCTGTTCTAGATGTTCAGAAGACTCTGCCCTTTATCAGTATCTTCACCTAGGAGGACTATATCATCCACATATTCTTTTTTTCCTTCACGTTCAAGTGGAACATAAGGCTTCGAACCAGTGGCTTGAAGTTTCTGTAGCAGTGTTTAATTTTACAAGATGGGGTTGCTAGCCTCATGCCTAACCTATCCTCTTTGCCAGCATTATTTCTGGCTTGGCGAGGTAAAGGAGTGCGCCGGCCAGGAATCGAACCCCGATCATGTGAATGGTCGTCGAGCGTCCTAACCGCTATGCCATCGACGCACTCCGCCACACCGACTGTCTGACGGTGAGTCATACTATCTGGTTGCCCATAGTTGGGTAAATGGGACGGGATTCGAACCCGAGTTCTACCTGGCTGAAAATCAGGCGGTAACATAGACGTACACGTGGGGAGAGCTTTCTGCATTTTTGGCAGTATGTAGACGGTTGTTACTTCCCGTCTGCCTTCATTGTAGAATTTGATTTTCTCTTTGCATACCTGAAACACAAACAGAATTGGTATTGCCTGACCGCAAAATTCATGGGACAACTACTTGACACCAGTCACACAAAACCTGTATGAACTGGTTTTTGGCATTCCCCACCCGTATTAAGACTTTACCGCTGGCTACGAACCACCACAAGGTAAGTGGGGGTGTACAATTTTCAGAGTCAAACATTTATTAACTTCCCTCTTTCTCCAGAGTGAAGACACACAGCGTATTGATGACATTTTGGTCATCTGGCGGAAACATCACCTTACACTGCTGTTACATCCGTATCCCCCAATAGTACAACTTCGCCCACAGACTCCAACACGGTTGAAACAATTTACACTTTCTCAAATGGTAGGATCTGTAAGGGGACATTAATTAAAAACAACTGAGCCATTCGTATATGCAAACCTGACCATTATGCCCAAGGTAACAGAAGCTATCAGTCAGTCATATGGTGGTCACCAAGTGCTTAGACAACCAATAAGCCGCGGCACAGTTCCACTACAAGGCTATTCAAAGCTCATGATGAAATCCTCCATCCAATCAATCAAACAAAATCCCTAAAAAACCAATACTTGAGAATTAATCTGATGCTCACTAGTGACTGGCTCTATTCAGGCAGTTAACCTGGGGTTCTAGTGGGAAGCCATGACCAGTAGGGTACAGCAGATGAGGCAGTAAATCATCGAAGAAGATATTGCGAAATGGTCACGCTATGTCGTGAATTGGCAGAAGTGAAAATTCAAGGATCATTTGGGTCGGGTCCCAGTGGCTCAATGGTTTACGAGGTCACTTGCCTTGTAACCAGAAGGTACTGGGTTCGAACCCCGGTGGGTGCGTACCGCTGTCCAGTACTCCCAGTTGATTTTCCAGTGATACACTAACTGATTTCAGCTTACATGATGAAATCCTCCATGCAATCAAACAAAATCCCTACAAAACCAATAACTTGTAAAATATTCAAAGCATCATTTAAACCACACACAAAAAAACTTGGAGGATCTGGACTTCGCCGATGATATGTCTGATTTCCCACAAACTGGAAGATATGCAAGTGAAAAGCAACAAGTTGGCAGAAGAAGTATCCAGAGAAAATAGGACTTCAAGTGAACATATATAAAACAGAGGTGATGAAGATTCCTGACCGACACCAACAGCAACAACAACAGACAACAATCAGCCAGCATAAATGGGAGGAACCTGAAAGAAACAACCTCCTTCACCTACCTGGGAAACATCGTTTCAACTACGGGCGGAACTGACGAGGACATCAAAGCCAGAATCGGAAAAGCAAGACAAGCTTTCATTACTCTCAAATCTGTGTGGAGGTCAACAGCACTCAGAATCAAAAATAAGATCCGGATTTTCAACTCCAATGTGAAGTCAGTCAGTGCTACTCACTATACGGATCAGAGACTTGGCCAGCGCGTCATAAGGAGCATATCAAACAAACTTCAGACCTTCATCAACAGCTGTCTTCGCTCAATACTCAAGATAAGATGGCCGACCAGAAAAGATCAGCAACAGAGTTCTCTAGGAGTGAACCAACCAGGTACCGATTGTGAAACAAATAGGCAGGAAGAAATGGAGATGGATTGGCCATACTCTGAGGAAACCATCAAGCGACATCACTAGACAAGCCATAGCTCGAATGGAACCCGAAAGGGAAGCGGCGAATTGGTCGTCAGTGTGAGGGTGACTTGGATGAGGTCATGCGAGGAGGAGATGAAAGCATGTGGGCAGACTTGGAGCGGAGTGAAAAAGTTGGCAGAAAACAGAAGGAAATGGAGATGCGTGCAGCTGAGGCCCTATGTTCCTCTAGGAACTAAAGGATATAATAATAAAATAATAACATTTAAACCACACAAAATAATAATAATAATTTACAACACAAACTTACAGTAGAATCATCTCCAGAGCATACAGAATGTGACATTTTACAAAGGATGCCTTGATGATTTGTCATTTTTTGTTCAAGTTCATAACTACAACAACCAGTAGCCAATGCCATAGGTATATTATGCAGTGCAAAATGCTGAATAATCTCCTCTGCACCAGGTAAACATTTAACAGATTTCCATTTCTCTGGAGATAAATAATTCGATTGTCTCTGAATATATTCATCTACACTAATGGGTAAATTAAATTTCTTTATAAGAAATTCAGCAGCTTCATGCGGTTTTCTACCCATCATCATTTTTTTCACATTATAATCAAATGTTAGATTATAAGGTTGAAGGAAATTCGATGTAAACTCAGTATACACTGATTCTGTGTCCAGTAGAAGTCCATCAACATCAAAAATAATATGCGTAATTTTCACCATTTCAAGATGAACAGTACTCTCTCTCTCTCTCTCAACTACAAGAAGGAAAAAAAGATTTTTAAAAAAAAACAAAGAAACAAGATATTCTCAAAGTAATATCTGTAGATACAAAGTAGCGAATGGAATCTAACAGACCTGTTTTACCTCAATTTTACAGTAGAGACGAAAACTACGCAAACCAAACATTCATTCCCTTAACGATCATCAATCGTTAGGCTACAAGGATAAATTTTCGGAAAAATTAAAATATCTAACAGAAACATGCATACGACCATTCTATCAATTATTTATTATTATTTTATCCTTTGTTTCCTAGAGGAACATAGGGCTTCAGCTGCACGCGTCTCCATTGCCTTCTGTTTTCTGCCAACTTTTTCACTCCGCCCCAAGTCTGCCCACATGCTTTCATCTCCTCCTCGCATGACCTCATCCAAGTCACCCTCACACTGACGACCAACTCGCCGCTTCCCTTTCCGGTTCCACTCGAGTAATGGCTTATCCAGTGATGTCACTCGCTTGATGGTTTCCTCAGAGTATGGCCAGCCAATCCATCTCCATTTCTTCCTGCCTATTTGTTTCACAATTGGTACCTGGTTGGTCCACTCCTAGAGAACTCTGTTGCTGATCTTTTCTGGCCGACCATCTGATCTTGAGTATTGAGCGAAGACAACTGCTAATGAAAGTCTGAAGTTTGTTTGAGATGCTCCTCATGACGCGCTGGCCAAGTCTCTGATCCGTATCTGTCTGTTTTCGACATAGAACTTTGCACAAATGTGAGGCAGTTCAAGTCGCCACACTCCGTGTAGCACGCGAAGCAAGAGAAGAAAGTACAAGAAAATCATAATAGAGACAGTGAGCAGAGGTGTGATCCGTATAGTGAGTAGCACTGACTGACTTCACATTGGAGTTGAAAATCTGGTTCTCGTTTTTTTAATGCTGAGTGCTGTTGACCTCCACACAGACCTAAGAGTAATGAAAGCTTGTCTTGCTTTTTTTTTTATTCTGGCTTTGATTTCCTCGTCAGTTCCGTCGGCCTGTAGTTGAAACGATGCTTCCCAGGTAGGTAGGTGAAGGAGGTTGTTTCTTTCAGGTTCCTCCCATTTATGCCGGCTGATTGTTGTCTGATGTTGTTGCTGTTGTATTCTATCAATTCGCTAATCCAACTTTTAGAGAAAATCAAAAACTAATATCAGTAAAAAGTTTGAGCATTGTGGATTAGATCAAATAAAGTATAATTATATTTTAATAGTTTACACACAATGATAAGTTTTTTTATTGGTAATATATCGAGCAAAATTACTGCCCGTGTTCACACCACTGTTGGAATTGTTTATCCCAATAATTCCAACAATTCCAACAGTGGTGTGAACACGGGCAGTAATTTTGCTCCAAATATTACCAATAAAACAACTTATCATTGTGTGTAAACTATTAAAATATAATTATACTTTATAAAATCAAAAACACTCAAGGGAATGATGTCACAGCATTATATATACATATATACTTCAATTGGTCCAAATTGAACAAAATAAACTATACGCAACAATTAATAATAATAATTTGCTTTATTCCAAAAAAGTACTTGTGACACAGAATGGAATTCTCAGCATTTCACCACATACAGTATTCCATCCAGTTAGTAAATTATCAATAAATAAAATTCTACATAGATTAAGGGTAATCTCAGTTCGTTTTGACAACATATCGGCATGTCGGTAGCAAAGCCAAAAATTGAACAGTGTTTGAAGGTGTTAGAAAAGTAGATGCCAGTATATTTACTGGCGTAGGCGTTAAAAAATAGGTCGAGATATGCAGAGTGTGAGAGAACGAAGAAGAATGTTTTAATAGAGTTAGTAAGGAAGAAAGAAACAAAGCAGCACATAACTCTTAAAAAACCGAGAGGAAAGGAAAAGAAAGAAAGAAAACGTTGTACCTATAAATTATATGAGTTGGAAAGACGAGATCCAGTTGTTCTACTGACTATAGTGATGAGAACACAAAAACGCAATGCTCAACTTGGATGGAATTTATAGAATTATGTCTTACAACATATTTCCAAGTCAATAATCAAATATATGAACAGTATAACGCAACATCAATGGGATTGTCCACATCAGGATTAATAACTGAAGCCGTTATACAAAGATTAGAATTAATAGTTCCACCCATAATGAAAACAAAATCTGGGCATGTTACGTTGACGACACATTTGGGAAGAAATGATTTGGAATATACCCACAAATCCATTAAAACAATATATCTGACGAAATCGATATCACCATCAGTGTTTCATTGAATTAGGGCCTTTTTCTCCACGAACAGCGACATCACAACACTGTAATATAACAGAAAAGACAATAACATATCAACCACGCTGAGCACTACGCTTCTACTGAGTCTGCCTCAAAAGTCACAGGAGCCAGTTCCTGCAGGCATCAGAGGTATTCATCTGTACTTTCTCCGCGGCGTTTCACACAGATGTGAAAGGCGGCCCGCTGCCCGAGGACATGGATGTGCAACGCAAATCCTCGACGTATGAACGTGAACAGCTCCTCTACCTCCACCGTCTCCTAGATATCAACACCAGCCAACCTGAGGCATTTCAGTGCTGGTATCGACAAAGAGCAGATGGTGGCGTCAGCTCTTTGATTTTCATTGAATTGTTAAATAAATCGCCGTTACTGTTCTTCCCAGCTGGGACAAACTTTTCTAGTGCGGGGAATTATAATTTAGGGTTGCGACTTCACGACCGTCCTTTTGTGTCAGTGGCCATCAAAGCTGTTTAGAATGCTGCTACCATTGCCTTGCCCAAACCATATCAGTAGCAGACGTTGAGGTCGACGGAATCCATGAGGTTGATGACTTCTCTGGTGACACTTTGGTATCGTCTTCTTGCACATGTGTGTAACCAATATCAGCAGATTCCGAGTTCTTTGTATCTCGCTTTGATTTGAGCGAGTTTCGTAGGCTCGTCATGTTCTGTAATATAACAGCACAGACAATAATATATATCAAACACACTGGGAGAAAATGTGAAAAGCAGAACACAGACTCGGGTCGAAGCACTTTATAATTACTAACTATCTCCATGGAAGAAAGCAAGAGTTATATGCACATAGAAGAGATAGGCTATCACTGTGCAGTAGCCACCGGTTTTTGAACTAACGCCTGTTTCCGAATGCGAACCACTATAGATATAGGCAGATTTTGATTTGCTGTTGGCTAGCTGGCTTCCTATTGGTCTAAAATGTCAGTCAAAGCGGTAATCTTTTTATTTTAACACGGAAATTTACAGTCAGTACAATTTCGGGCTTACCTTACCATATTATAATGGCGTGTTATTTTTTTTGGTGTGAGTGTAGTGTAATAGTAACACGCTATTTGGATGCATCGGTGGTGAATAAAGTACATTAAGATGTATGAAAATGTCTAGTAAGTGAATATAAATCAACAATAATTGCGATGCATTTATTTTAATCCCAAAATAGGATGTATGCCATTTTGGTTACTAGGCGAATATAATTTAACTACAATTTCTAAAAATTTAATGTGTCCTGAATTATTACATATAGATAAATGTATGTATTAACTAATCTACTTTTTTAAGTTGTCAATTGAATGACTTGTGGGATTTGTGCATACTAGGTCAGCATAAATAAAGTAAATTCCCCTTCGAATAGCTGAGAGCGACAGTTTAAAGCATATTTGGTTGATTGTTTCGTGATGAGAGCGATTTGGAGTCAGTTATAAATTACACCGATCTGTATCATATTTACCACGTTTTTCAGCCGAGCATTTCTGGTTCGTAGCATATCCAGAATAACGGTGATTAATACGATTTATCACTTAGACCGCAGCACCACCAAGCTTAAAACAATTCTAAACTTATTCAAACCTATTCCTCGACAATGCCCTTTTATAGTAACTGAAGATCATATTTACCCACTATGTTTGAAATGACACAGTTCCTGCTTAAAAAGACAGCTGCGTACTGAATCAAAACTTTCCGCTCTGGAGTAACGCTAATCCCTGCTTAATATGCTCTGTGAGGGCTGGGACAACACTGAGCAGCAAATCCAGTAGGTTCGATTTAGTGCCACTCATGCTGAAAAACCAGCGCACAGTTTCACTGTCAAACAATGGCAAGAAAAGATCCTACAGTCACTTTCTAGGTCATGATGAGTTCCTGCATCGGCTAGTTATATGTTCTCGTGAATTCGTTTTCCACTGAATTTTAAAGGTCTTTTTGCATGTTTTTCTCATTTTGCAGTGTGTAGATCAGTTTATTTCACTGGATGCTACTATTAAGGTGATTTTTAGCTTGTAGTTCCCAGTTTTTATGTAGGTAGTCAAGGTTTATGGTGAACCTGCAATGATTCAGACAAATAAGGCATACTTTTCTAATATATTAACCTTATTCAATAAGTAAACTGCCTAACTGTTCTGCGATAGTTTGAGATTAAAACTAAGAGCTGGTTTCTTAGCATAAGCGGAAGTAAATCGAACCGACTGGGTTTGCTTATCAGCTCTGTTTCATCCCTCACAGGACATATTAAGCATGGACTAGCGTTATTTCAGAACGAAAAGACTCAATTCAGCACCTAGGTATCATTTTAAGCATGACCAGCGTTATTTGAGAAAATAGTGGGTAAATAAGAGCTTCAGTTACCATAAAAATGCCTTATCGATGAATAGGTTAGAATAAGTTTATGAATATTGTAGGCTTGGTGGTGTTGCGGTCTAAGTGATAAACCGTATTAATCACCGTTATTCAGGATATGCTATGAACCGCAAATGCTCGGCTGAAAAACGTAGTAAATAAGGCACAGATCGTTTTAATTTCTAAGTGACTTTCAAAGCGCTCTCATCACGAAACAATCGACCAAAGTATTCTTTAAACTGTCGGTCTTAGCCTTTTGAAAGGAAAGGAAGTGTAACAGCAGTTTAGACATACATGTTTATATTCTGAATACAAATGGAAATAAAAAGGTAATACAAATATTTTTACAAAAATAATCGATTAACAGGGGCA